TTGAGCATGACTTAAAGGTAGAGACAACCCAGATGAATTAGCAACATGGCATAAGATTTTTCAGACAAGCTCATCCTCCATACTTGAATTTTGCAAGGCAAAATCAAGTTTGGATGGATGATGATTGGTTGGACATACCTAGCGTTGTCATCCTTCATTCTTTTTGCTTCAAACGTAGAACGGTTAGTGGTAATAATACCCAAAGGAATACTTTCACAATTATATTTCTATGCTCATTTCACAAGGGCATCTCCCAAAAGTGCTTGTTTTAGGATAGAAGCTCGTCCTTGGGAAACCTTCGAATTGCGCTTTTAAGTTGGTGAAGTGGTTTCCCATCCAACATAACCTCTGGGTGCCTATGTCAAGATTCTCACAATGAGATTTGCAATATTTATGATAAACCTATGCATCTACAACCACCTTGTCAGGCTGGAAGTTTAAGCTTTTCCCAAAATCAACATCGAAAAGATCATCCTCAAAAAAAATTAAAAGGTTGAATTTCTTGTTCCTTTGGAGGATTTGGATTTTGGGGTATTGATGGTTCGGGATTGATAGCTAAATCTTGGGATTGGACTAGTTGTGGTTTGGCTATCAAAACTTCGTTTTCTTGTTCGGGGGGTGATTCCTTCGCTTCCTTGGGGAGCTCATCATGAATGCTAGTGCAGGGAGTCTTTTTACTAATTCTATCAAGCATAGACCTTGCTTCTCTAGCAGACAAATGAAGGAAAGCTCCTCTAGAGGCTTGATCAAGGGATTGCGCAAAATCCTCGCTAAGACCCATATAAAAATGTTGAAGGAGCATCGGGTCTGAAATAGAAAGGTCTGGTCAGTGGTAATAAGATCATTAATATGATCCCATGATGTAGCAAGAGATTCTTCTTCTAGTTGTCTAAAATTTAGAACCTCTTTCCGAAGGACTTTAGAGATGGGAAAGAAACATAAATAAAATTTAGAGCATAACATTTCTCAATCTCCTTGCATACTTCCTACGGTTTGACTATACCATTGTTTAGCTCTTCCCGTCAAAGAGAACAGAAACAACTTCCATCTTAAGGTCTTGTTAGACATGCCAGCGATACGCAAGCATGCACAGGTCTGCTCAAACTCTCGTAGGTGTGAGTATGGGTTTCCATCGCCTTCTCCCGAGAAGGATTGTTTCCGAATTAATTTTATAAAAAACGAGCGCAGCTCATAGCCAGGTGTTAGGATAGGCTCTGAATATTTTGGTGGCTTTAGACTTGCACTCATGGGTTTAGCATATTGATATATAGGAGTAGAATCCATAGTAAAAAGGGAAAGAATAAATTAAAAGAAAAGATAAAAGATAAAATATACAAAGTTAAGCTAGGTTCGTAGTTAATTCAGCAACTGTTTCTCTAGCAATGATGCCAGAAAGACTGTTGGTATAAATTAACGCACACAAATAAATCCGCAAGCGCACGGATACCGTTGTAGCTTTCACCCGAAAGTATTCTAAGTATCGTATCCACAAGGAAACGTGTGAGATTAACTACGGTCTAACTTAACTAAGGGTAGCTACATAGTTAGGATAAATAGGAGCGTAGAGAGGATAACTAAGGTTCTCTAATTCTGATTTCGGTAAACTATGTCTTCTACTATTTAACTGGGACATTACTAGGGATAGACACCAGCAGAGGATGCTTTCCTTCATAACCGGGCCCTACTTGGCCTACAAACGGGAGGTGGACTACAAAGGATTCAGTGAGGCTATAAGAGTCACCCTCGCGAGCTACCAACGATCCGGAATGCAGGGTGCATCCATGATTAACCTCAGTCTAAGCACCACGCTTACACTTATGATTAATACTTTACTCTCCCTATGTAGAGAATAAAGCACTCAAAAGAGTCGCAAACCTGATGAACAATATAAACAAGATGCTTACTTGAATCTGAAGTTCATTACCAGAGAAATCTCAGAGACAGGCTTAGATAGAACTTGGATCCGCCAAGGTACAAGCCGTAGAGAGAGCACCGATAGGCCGGCACCTCCTCCATACTCTTCCCTCACTCTATATCTCATTATTTCTATTTATAAGACTAGATCCTATGGAGGACTAATCTTCTCTTGACAGCTAGCTCTGATCCTAACGAGGAGAATATGAATTAGGGTTTCAGGATGGCTCTAGGGAGGGGGTAGAGGGCGCATTATATAGGCCGAGGTGGAGTAGGGGGCAAGGAATCGCCATGTCATCGATTAGCGTCAACTTCCTCGATCACCGTTGGATGAACCGACCTTGATCAACGGCAGAGATAGACTCTCAAAGGCAGTGGGAAACTGACGTAGAAAGGAGACACTGACTGGTGGGACCCATAGGCCGACCGGCCTACAGGTGGGGCTGGCCAGCCTATCTCTGTGATAGGTGGGCTCCACCCTCCGATGGAATCTTCTAGACTCCGTCTTGAGTTGTTTTCTGCAGGTTTCACGAGCCGAATCTCTTTCTAATGTCGGTTTGCTTGTTTGGAGAGTATGACGGTGGTCCTAGGGGCTATTTTCTGGATAAATCCTCCTGCATTCATATTCACCAAAGCTCGTGAAATTCATTAGTTTCAACCCCTAAATCTATGTTTGGTGACAAAATCAAGTATATATGTAGGTTATATTGATGGTTTATAATTGATGTTAATGACCGTCAATAGTGAGCCACAAGCCAGCCATGGTCTGTTTATAGACCCCCTCAAACAAATAGAGTCGTTGCTTTGCACAGGCATGACGAGACACGCCGACTGGACTCACCCCTAGCGTCCGGTCGCTGGCATTCGATCGACCGATGGCTGCCACGTGTCCCCCTTTAAATATCACGCATCAAATTTCAATGGTCAAAAATGGACAACGCACAGTCAATGACGTGACTGGACATGCCAGACGATGATCGGATGCGCCAAGCCAGTGTCCGCTCATGCGTGCTCTCGCTCCCTTCGCGCCAAGACCGGAGTTGGCACCTAGCGACCGGACGCGCCGCCGGTCAGAGCCTGATTGACTCCAGTAAGCATCCAGAGAGGATTTTATGCGACCTGATGCGTCCGGTCAAGGGTGACCAGGTTCGCCCTGTGTCCGGTCCTCTCTGGCCTTCACCCTGCGCGCCACGTCACCACGATCGGACCCGGGAACAGTGTTCCAGCAGCGTCTGGTCGCGTGCCTCCACCAAGGTCCGGTCAGGACCCGAGGCCACGCCAAACTCCGCGCCACTGACCGGATGCACCCTATCAAGGTCCGGTCCAGAGTCCGATAACAAACTAACGCCTCCTTTTCTTTTTTCTATGTCCTCAAACGCTTCGTCCTTGCTTCCAAGTTGCTAACCACAAAATGTACTACTCATGTGCTCGTGTGTTAGCATTTTTCTAAGTATTTTTCAAGGGTTAATTGTTAGCACACTAGGTCCCTAAAATGGGTATGCATGAATCATGTCATCCTTAATACACTCACACCCTCTATGGTGTCTTGAATGCCAAAACAAAAACCTATTTGATATGTTTACCTTTAACATTTGGTTTTTGTTTTTCTCTTTCTTTTTTTTCCAAGTTGGAGCACTTGATCTTCAAGTTTGGCCACCACCATCACCATGACCATCATCTAGCTCCACTTTTTGGTGTGTACAACCCTATCTCAATCACAACACTTAAAGACAAGGGTTAGTATACTAGGTTTCATCAATTATCCAAAACCAAACTAGAGCTTTCAGCACGCATGTTGGGTTGGTCCGCCGTATGCCTAGAAAGGGGAGTCCGGATGGATAGACAGTAGACACCTTGCATAGAGCATTACCATTTTATTAGACTTCCGAGGGGATCTTACCTTTCCTTGGAGGCTCTATCGTCTCCAACAAGAATTATGAGTCACAAGAATTCAGGTTATTTTGTTTTTCGTTCCAAAGAAACTTCATCCCTTATATCCTTTGACACTATAGGAGGAGTGGTCATTTGTAAGTGCACTCATGATAGAACTGATTTTCATATTTAGCAACCTAAACCTCTGTTTAGACCTCTTTCGGAGAGGCCTAGCCCACATGCTTCCTGAGCTCCCCCAAACAATACGTCGGTTTGATCACGTCAAACAGTAAAAGTTTACCACTTTTTTCACTTTTAGAACCTGCAACCGTATTTGACAAACCAAAAGAAAACTCGGCTGCACTCGGCCACGTGGGGACATAATGGCACGAATACATAGAGATCAATCGACGCACGAGATAAAGACCTCCGAGATTGCCAGGAACAAAAATATTTCTCTTTTCGGGCTCATATGGCCCAAACTGCATTTGCATTGCTTTCCTATTATGAGGGTATTTTTTTTAAGAAGACAGGACGTGGATCATGTGAAAACCACAATTTCGTTCACATGCTGTTCTATAGATAGGAATAAAAAAAACCCTGCAATTCTGTCGCACCACCGAAACCAACGGCCCATATATCATGCATGCAGTATGCTTGCAGTTGTCTAGAACATTGCATTCTTTAAGGCCCGTCAGTCTTTGCGTCCATGTCCCTAGAAATTCTACCACGTAACTCATTATAGATAGGGAATCGTTGATTGAGATGGTGTGGTAAACCCATCAAGCTGCATATAGAAGGCGATGTCCAATCATTGAGTCATTAAAAAAAAGATGTTTCTAAATAAAATACTACAGGAGTAGTTGCGATATGAGAAACCATAATCGATTTCTTAATTAAGACCGGGAACTACTTGTCGCCTGTTTGGCCATCCATACACACACACACAAGAATAGCTAAGAATCAAGCCAAAATATTTAGACGTAGAGCAATAAAGGCACAGAGACACAAACTATGTTAACTACAAAATATGTAAAGAGTTCTCCAATAACATTACAAGCTATATTATTCACAAATATTTATTCAATGCATCACTTTGAGCCCTCTGCCATTGGCGTCATATAATTCCTTATTTTTCATCTCATGCACTGTTATTTAACTGCCTTCTCATGGAACTACTTGTTACATGTAAGGTACATAATACGTCATATAAACTAAAATGACATTATGCGATTTACCAATAGCTCAATTGCGGACTTAGAGGTGCCTTCTTCCTTGATGCACTTAATGGCTTTGTTCCTTAAATCTTTGGCCCTTTGTCTCATAAGTCTTCCTTCTTCCATACAAAGTAACTTTGTAACAGCCCTCTCTATATCCCCCCTCTCTAAGTCACCCTCTAACTCAAACCCTATCTTCCACACGTCTTGGACGTACCTCATGTTTATCATCTGATCAGCAAATTGGGGTCTACATATCATTGGGACACCTTCACAAATGCTCTCCAGAGTTGAGTTCCATCCATTATGAGTCCAAAAGCCACCAATTGCATGGTGTCGTAAAACTTCTTGTTGTGGAACCCATGGCACCACCATTCCCCTTCCATGTGTCACCTCCTTAAAGTCATCAGGAAGGTTCACATGATTAGAGGATTTGACCAAGTTATGACGAATAACCCACAGAAATGGCATTTGACTGTTGGCCAAGCCCCATGCTATCTCCAACAGTTCCTTTTCATCTATACATGCCAAACTCCCAAAGCTCACATAAAGAACAGAGTCTACTTCTTGCTTGTCACTACGTAAAAAACGGTTTGTAGCAACGGGACAAATTTTTTATAGGGGCGGCTGGTGATGAAGCCGCCCCTACAATGGCGTGCTCGGGAGCCCAGAGACCAGCCGTCCCTACAAATGGAACAGCAGGGGCGGCTGGTCATACGAGCCGTCCCTACAAATGGGTCAGATTTGTAGGGGCGGCTCACTCACCAGCCGCCCCGATATTGCTATTTGTAGGGGCGGCTGGTACTACAGCCGCCCCTACAAATCGATTTTTGTAGGGGCGGCCTGAGAACCGCCCCTACAAATATATGATTTGTAGAGACGGTTTGGTAGGGGCGGCTGGCCAAACCGCCCCTACAAAGGGTTACGAGCCGTCCCTAAAAAATGTTTCTGTAGTAGCGTGTCCAACCACTCTAAACAAGCCCAATCTTGTGCTAACAAGCTGTCGTCAGTGCCTGAAGAAATCTTGTGAAGTGGCCCAATAGGATATATTGGAACTCTGATGCCATTGGCAATCTTTTCAAGATCAGAATTCTCAAGGTCTCGGATCGAAGGTGTTAAGTATGACACCAGAAGAACTCCTTGCTTCATCCACTAAACATTTTAGGCATTTTCTCATATTAGCATGTGTAGCAGTGGACGAGAACACTATGTCTCTTAGTCGTAGTGGTGTAAGATCATCTAATGGCATGTCCAACTGGGACTGATCTGGAATATAATTAAAAATAATGAGAAATGGTCAGTGTAGTACCCAATAGATAACACAATTGGCATATAGCTTCGATTTCTTGTGATTTTCCTACTGACAACCATTATCGTGGCCCCTCCAGTTAGCTTCCAAAAGCATACAATTTAATTCAGAAAATTATGGGTGATCCTCTTTTTTTCTTTGCGAAACACAATACATTATGGGACAAGAAAAACTATTTAGAAGCTTATTAGCAAGTTCACAAGCCTTATAAAGGAATAGTTATGGTATTGATTTTCACCTTAATAATGCAACAAGTTGTAGCTTGTCTCTTATTAACCATGTGTTGTTAAACTTAGCATGGACCATACTAATCCTTAGCATCCTATGAAAGTGAGATCCACTTTAATGGCTCGTGCATGATCATTATCTATAAAAGGTTATTTTGCGAGAAAATGACATCTTTATATCACCTCGCAATCAATAAATTAAATGGAATGAGTTTGTTTCTAAATAATGATCCAAAACACATGTAACATAAACAATTTTAACTTCAGTCGGTAGTACTAGTAACATGGTAAATATGAAATCTAAATGGTATGAGTTTGTTTCTAAATGTAAGTTTAATTTCAACCAGCAGTCGGCAACACCATGATAAATACTGCTCCATCCATTTCAAATTGTAAGATGTTTTGGCTTTTCTAAATACATTACTTTTATTATGTATCCAGATATAGTGTATATCTAAGTGCATATTGAAATCTAAAGTTTTTTCGTTTTTACAATTTCAAACAAAAAATTGTACAAAAATGCACATGTAAGCAAAGCTAGGTTTTTGGTTACCAGCTCACGTCTCAATTGCTTACCATTTAATAATCTAAAGTTTTTTTCAATGCAAATACCTTGTATGCATGTTGACTAGCAAATGCCCTATCATTTGACCTCTCTAGTTAGTAAGTACCAGTGTACCACCCTCTATCCTAAATTAGGTCATTTTGGTATTTCTAGGTACATTAGACAATTAAGAGATGTATTTGAGAATAAAAAACAATTTAAAGATGGTTGAGAAGGCTTGTTTACTTATAATTTCTAGTGTTTAGTGTAAAGTAATGAGATGTACTAACGAAGAATCTTCTGCAACACTTGTTTGGGGTGTTTGTGGGGTGGGGGGCAGGCCCCTGCACGTCCCGCCTTGTCTCCGCCCCCTGGCCATGATGCATGTGCATGCTAGTGCTAGCGTTGATATATCGAGAACATGAGATGGTGACAAAGCCCGAACTGCAAAGTACAGTGACGAGTCACCTTTCGATGTCGGCGGGAGGAGGCCCTTGTCGCAGAGCGCCGGGAACGCCATGTAGGCGACGAGGCAAGCGGCGGCGCCGGTGCGCAGCACGAGCGTGGGAACGCCGAGCTCCTGGGCCCACTACCCCAGATTTGTACAACACTGTCGGTTTTATCATTATCGGATTTGTGACAACCGGTAGTACCTTCACTGTTGGTTATGAGCTTGAAAATGAGAAAATGATTGGGGCTAGGCTAAAATTAAAGGACCACATCACTGTCGGTTTGTGGCTTGAACCGATAGTGTTTTGACGGCCACTCATCACTGTCGGTTTAAGCCAAGAGCTGACAGTGATTTGGATCTATCACTGTCGGTTCTAGCTAACAACCGAGGGTGATAAGCCTACAGCATAAAAAAGGCTACAGCCGTCCTCTTATTTCTCCTCTCTTCCATCCCGAGAACAGAGGCGCGCGTTTGGTCCCTTTCCTCCATTGTTGCGTCTGCTCTTCCCCATGAAGCTAGCGCTTGGATTTTGAAGAATGGCTTGATCTTTTTGCTTTAAGGTTAGTAACAAACATCCACTACTTTGATATTGTTGCTTAATTAGCTTCGTTTTGATTGGTACATTGCTTGATTCTCATTCTAGTTCTTTCTCTATTCTAGAGAGCACTTTTTTAATTGGACATTTGTGCAAGGCTCAAATTGTGGTGAATCCATTATTCAAAAGGTTGGTGTCTATGAACACATTTAAATTCCTAGCTAATTATTCCATGGTGGTCAAGATCATCATTGTTAGTATGTAATGCTATAATTAGTTTTTAAAAATGGAGTAGAATAGATATTCTTCATTATTGTGCAATAATTGTTTTTTTACTATGATTTTTAATTTACAGGGCCGATGCTACCAATTTTAATTTTCTAATAATTAGTGTACAATAATGTTTTTCAAAAATGGTACTTTCGAGCTGCAATTGTTGCTCATGAAGCTCGATTTCTTATTAATTCTTTGTAATTACTGTCTCAGTATTTTTTTGTGCAAAGATGGATCGAGAGTGGATGCATCTGTCCTGAATGGACAAGCGGTACATGCATGGCGTCAGCAAGTTTATCACCGATGCCAAAGCCCATGCTGGGAATGGGAACCCTGCCTTCTGCCCATACAAAGATTGCAAGAATCAAAGGAACTTTCGACAAATTGAGTCTATATGATCGCACTTGATTACCAAGGGGTTCATGCCAAACTATACGATATGGACTATGTATGGCGAGGTTGGTGTGAATGTTCTGCAGGAAAACGATGAGGATGTGGACATGCCTGAAGTAGTCATCCACGATGCTGATGAGGAACCCGGTGTCAACACAGAACCTATGCCATAGTTAATAATATGTTTAGGAACACGCTAGCTGACGACACCGAGGATAACGATGGCATTTCTCAGCTGCTACGTAATATAGAGACCGGATGTCTTAGTGAAAGATAGCTGAGAAAGCTAGAGAAAATAAGATAAGATGGCAAAATACCATTGTATAGGAATTGTCCAATGAGCAAACTGGAAGCCGACATCATGCTGTTAGAGTTCAAATCGATAAACGGATTGAGCGATAAAGACTTCGATCAGTTGTTAGGTATAATAAGGAAAATGCTCCCAGAAAAAAAACGAGTTACCAGAAAAGACATACTTGGCCAAGCAAATGATCTGTCCCATCGGCCTCGAGGTTGAAAAAATCCACGCGTGTTCCAATGATTGCATATTGTACCATGGAGAAAAATACAAAGACTTGGACAAGTGCCCCAAGTGTGAAGCTCCATGGTATAAGAAAGGGCCGTCAGATGAGGGTATCAAGATTAGAGGATGTCCCGTAAAGGTCATTTGGTATTTTCCTATAGCTCTCCGGGTGCATAGGTTGTTTGCATGTGCAAAGTTAGCCAAGCTATTGCGCTAGCATAGCGAAGAGCGTAAGAAAGATACAATGATAAGGCACCCTGCTGATGGGCATGACTGGAGGACTGTCAATACTATGTTCTATAAGGACATCGGTAGAGAGGTAAGGCACCTTTGGTTTGCTTTGAGCATAGATGGGATGAATCCTTTCGACCAGGTTAGAAGCAATCATAGCACCTGGCCAGTGACGCTCTGTATATACAACCTTCTACCTTGGGTCTGTATAAAGCGGTCGTACATCCAGATGCCACTACTAATCCAAGGGCCAAGACAACCTGGGAATGACATCGATGTGTTTTTAGAATCAGTGATCGATGAACTAGTAGATATGTTTGAAAAGGGTGTGCCGGATGTTTGGGACGAGTACAAAAAGAAACATGTCACGATCAAGGGAGTACTTATCGCTACAATCACCGACCTGCCAGGTCGAGGTTCGTTGTCTGGAGAGAAGACAAAAGGCTATACTAGATGTGTCGAGTGCTTGGACGACACCGATGCGGTAAATCTACCAAATAACTTAAAGATAGTTTATATGGGACACCGTAGGTTCCTACTTAAGGATCACCCTTACTGCAGGAACAGAAAAGATTTCAATGGCACTATTGAGAAACGCTTAGCTCCAAAATATCGAGACGGGCCTGTGATACTTCGAGAACTCAACAAACTGAAGGTTGTCCTTGGGAAGGGGGACAATGCAATAGCAGCGCCTGATGAGAGCGTATGGAAGAAAAAATCGGTTTTCTAGAAACTATCTTACTGGCCATTTCTGAGTGTACGCCACTGTCTTGATCCCATGCACATCACTAAAAACGTGTGCGCTAACACTCTTAACACCTTGATGGGCACCGAGGGGACATCGAAGGATTCCCTAGCCCATTGGGAGCCAAGATCGGTATTATACTGTATGGGGAGGAATGTATGCCACGCCGAGGATGGGAGCTTTAGCTCCACAAATCCACCCATGAGCGAACTCATCCAGAGGATCTCCTAGGTAACTAAGGAGGTGAGGCAAGAGACTTGCACTTCTAATAGGGAGAAAGACGTGCTCACCCAAGCACTCGAAACCAAAGAGCACCCTGGTCGCACTAGAGGAACCGGTGTTGTTCCTTGGAAACTAGCATTCCTCGAAGAATCTCACACTTATCAGAGCCGCTCGAGGGGTAGAGTGGATCAGGATGCAGAGTGTTTGAGGTGACTAAAAGAGATGGAAGACAGAATAGACGCACGGATTGAGGTGACTATTGAAGCATGAGTCTAGCAAATTTTGTTGTCCAAGGGATCAGTAGTACCACAAAACCCTACTCCTACAGCCTTTAGCCCACAGTTTAGGTGTCACAGTAGCTGCGGATCGACCCCGCTCGACAAAGAAGATGCGAATGTGTCTCATCCGGTGGACGGCATCACTGAACCTATCAATGTCAAGTTCTACATCCATCAGGAATGAACAAAGGACAAGGTGGTGCTCGGCCAAGCCTGGCCTACAGGAGACGGGACCATTAATGGCCGCCTAATTCCACAAGGGTACGCTCGCGTCACCATTGACAGAATACTTGATAAAAAGTATAACAAGATACACATTGAGTACCCTGCAGTGGAAGACAGGCCAAAACTTGGTCATAACAAGGGCTCTCAAGTGGCCTGACGCAAGCGCTTGACCACCAATTGTCCTCTAATGATGAGGACGACTACGAGTCTTCGCCCACCCGCGATGATCACTCACCATCTCCCAACAGAGATCACTCCCCTCCTTATCCCTTGCCATCACCCCCGAGAAGACAGAGGTCTCCTTCTATTCCTCCTCGTCCGACTCCATCTTCATCAGCCCCGAGAAAAGAGAAGACTCCTCCTCCTCCTCCGTCTTCATCAGCCTCGGGAAAACAGAATTCTCGTCGTCATCCTCCTCCTCCTCCACCTCAGCCTAAAACAAGATCAAAGGCATCCTCGTAGTTGTAGAAAAGGTCCTTGGATTCGGTCACTAATGCTCCCAAAGTGGACCAACAAAAAAGAAAAAGGTCATTCAGTGGTAGCGTTACAAACTTGATGGAAGGAAAATTTACAGCACACATCTCGAAGGAAGATTGTGTTAGTTTCTTCAATCTCTGTGCCTCACTGCCTCCATGTTTGTTGAAGTCCGAATTCGAAAGGCAAATACAGAATCAGTACGCTACAATAAGAGCCGATGAAATACACAATTAAGATTTAAGAAAGATACAAAAGTACGTCGAAGACAACCCCGAATTAACCATGGAAGAGGCCGTGAACATCAATTATGATGTACAAGGGATGGGAATACCGGCAATGAAGTATGAAAGGGGCAATCTTTTGGTTCCCGATAACGAGTATAAAATTTGACAACATATATGTGCCAGTTGCATGAATATTACATGGCTCAAGCAACAGAGACGGAGGACTTTGGTTTTGAGGTTATTATCCGTTCGCCACATGTTTTTTCATTATCCTGAAGAAGAGAAGTTCGATGTCGAGTGGGAGTGATTCTTCCAGCTATACCAGAAACGCTCTCTCGATTCACAAATATTGACGTTGTGGACTATTTAAGTACCCTACACGCACGATATTATAATTAACTACTCTCTCGAGACACAAATTATTAACTTTTGACCAATTCCCATAATTTTATGTAGGTGTATAGCAAAATTTTACATACTAAAATGCAAATAGGATAACATAGGCTTCTTGGACCTCTTGCGAGTCAATGAGAAGACATGTTTAGGCCTCTATGGATGTGACGTGGAAGACTTGAAAGAGAGATTGCTTGATGTTTTCGATGAATTCAAGATGAAGAACAAACCCCATATACTTCTAGCCTACAACTGCGAGTATGTGTTATCGGCTTTTAATTTTATGCTTCTTTTTTTGTTAAGATTATTTGATAATTAGTATTATGTGATTACAGCAACCATTTCGTCTTCATTTGTATCAATCTTGCTAAAAATCTGATCGAGGTGTGGGACTCGAAGAAAAAACCATTTCATCATCTGGATGCACTTGTGGTAGTGCTGAATTAGTAAGCGATCCTAATAACACATTATTTTCTAGTCACACATACTGCTTTCTAATGTTTCTCCTTTTAATATTGCACAGTGTCCGAAGAAGACATATCGGTGGGAC